TTCATTTTAAGCTTTGTTATATATCAGTGCAGCTCTTCATCCTTTAGTAAATTGCACAGATTTCAGTGTATTTGCAGGTGCAGATGTGGTGTGATACTACATGGCAGTCAATTTTGAGGAATGACGGTCAATTTGGAGGAATGACGGATAATTTTATTGTGTGACAGATGCTTTTGTATAAGCACTCTAGATGTACATTTGAAATTTATCAATCAATAAAATATTATTTCTAACAATTTCATGTATTGTATTTTGATATGCATATGTAGTTTTTGAGTATTATAGCATTTTTTTTTATAAATTAAATTTTTCCCGATGAAGCCAATTTGTCAAGAGAGAAGATTGTGCTGAGGAAATATCTATGGTGACGGACACATTTTGTTGGCTGAAAAGTTTTATTTGTCAGCTTAAAAGCATTGTATTGACAAAAGTATTTGTCGGGAAAGATGGAAATGCCGACAAAAAAGTTTTTGTCAGGAAAAATTGAACTTAGCCGACAAAATACCACAAGTCGTCGGGAAAACTCTTAGGAGACATGGTCGACGAATTTTTTCGTTGGGAAAGACTCTTTGCCAACAAATTTTGACTTTTGCTAACAAACTAATTTTGTCAGTAAAGTCGAAATTTCTAGTAGTGATAGGATGAATTTATAATATGAACGGTTCTTATTATAAGTACGAAGTTCTATACATTGACAATGAACAATTTTGAGTAGGAGTTCCTACTCATCCCTTAAGTAGCTAAGTATGGTTATAAACATTACTTGACCATTTAAAGATGAATAGGAACTCCTACTCAAAATTCTTAGTATTTGAATCACAAATTACTTTGTACTTATGATCAAAACCATTCATATTATTAATCACACTGTAAAGATCATCTCTGCAAAAAAAAATGAATTAAAACTAAGGTCGTTTAGTCAATCTATTCTAGCAAATACATAGACGGCTTGTAATGTTTTTACCAATTCCGTTCATTTGTTTTTATCCAGTTCAATGACTAAACAATCTTAGTTTTAGTTATTTTTTTGCAAAGAAGATCTTTATCAGGTGATTTATAATATGAACGGTTCTGATTATAAATACGAAGTTCTATACATTGACAACAAACAATTTTGAGTAGGAGTACCTACTCATCCTTTGAGTGGCCAAGTATTATTCTTATGAACATTACTTGACTATTCAAAGATGAGTAGGAACTCCTACTCAAAACTCTTATTATTTAAATCACAGAGCTTTTTACTTATGATAAAAACCATTCATATTATCAATGTTCTAAAAGATGTTATAGGGCTGCGAGCTGGGGCCTAACATCTAGACGGCTAGGCGAGGCCTAGGCAAACTAGACGGATTTAACTAAATCTATTATATTTTGTGTAAATAAGTGTCTGTTTATACTTAAAATATATATAATTTCACCATAAACTACAAAATAGAATGACATATATGTTATGAAGTATTGGAACATAATGAAAATATGGGGAATAAGCATATAAGGTGTGTTCATTTAAGTATTCAACAAGGCTCTTACAATTTATTGAAAAAAAACAAAATGCAAAATGAAAGTTATCTATTTTCCAGCTAAGTGATTCGTAACCTAGGTGGGCGCGAGTCTGGGCAGGCTAGGTGGGTGCCTAGGCGATCTAGGCGGGCGCCTCAACAGATCTAGTCCCCCTTTCTTAATTTTCAAACACCTAGCATTAATCGGGGCAATGGTCAGCTGCCTAGCGCCTAGGCAGGGCCTAGGCTGTGCTAGGCGTGTGAAATCCTGTTCCTGGATTTCACTGTTACAATCTACATATTTGTATTATCAAGATTTTATATTATTTCGAAAAATTTTATTAAGTTATTTACATTTAGATTTTTAAATTTGACTAATTACGAAGAGTGAAGTTTGGAAATTAATTATTTAAAATTCATAGACTGTTCTAGATCATAATTTATCTTTTCGAATAGAGCTCGATCTCACGAACATATAGGCGCAAACCGTTCGTGAAACGGAGTTATAACAGAAAAGTTATTAACGTTTAAAGTTAGGGACATTATTGTAATTTTGGCCCTCATCTAGAAGACTCCAGATTGCTGGAGCAATTATCTGTGTGCCACGTGTGTGGCCGTGATTGGAGAAAGAAGAGAGAAATGAGGGAAATGAGGGAAATAAGGGGAGAAACAGCTGAATCAAGAGAGAAGATGGGAGGGGAATAAGAGGGGGAGAGGGGTAGATAATCGGATTTCCCCCTCAACTCGTTTCTTTTTGGTGACCTGACCCGACGGAAACAAGAGTTTCCAATGCTTTTTCGGGCCAAATTCCAGCGAATTATGTAGAGACAACACCTAAGAAATACCCCACGGCCTTCCCTCTACCAATTCCATCCAAAAATTTAGGAAAAGTAGCCTTGAATTTGGGAAAAACCGCACCGGTGGGTGTGAGGGTTATTTGTCGTTGATCCATCAATTCTGAAACAATTTCCTTCAATCACCACCACTTATAGAATCCTCTTAAGGCTTGGAACAAAGCCCAAACAACTGTAGGGGCGGCAGAGCATCGGAGATGACGGATCTAAGCCACCCATTTCTAGGGTTCCAACGGGTTCAAGGTAATTCCGAGCACTTTCCAACCGAATTGGACTTCAGCCCAGGTATGAAAGTTGTTCCTCTCATTGAGCTGTACATGTATGTAAAATTTGGTAATTTTTAGAGTTAGTCAAAAAATTGGGTTTCCATTCGTCGGAAACTGCCACCAGCGGCGACACGTGCAGTGGTGCATGGCCAGTGAGCCACCAATGCTATGTTACACTAAATTAATATCCTTATCTTTGAATTGATATTTGTATGACGTGGTTGCTTGTTTGAACTTAGTTTCATTACAATACATCACATGATCATTTTATGAATCGATGTTGGATCGTCACCAAACTCTAATGCATTATAAAACATAATATTTGAGGATATTAGAAACTGAAGGATTAGAAATCCGAAGTACGGATCTTCCTGAATTGGATTTCTAAATTTGTAAAATAAATTGTTGACCGCAACCTAATCCTAGTAATTGGCGGAGGTCCGACCGTCAGATCACGATGAGATTTTAGTATGTTGTTCTATAAGCATAATATGGACCTTAGGAAGTTACGGATCAGAAATCCAATGTGTGGATCTTCCGGATTGAATAGCTAGGGTTGTGGACCCCACCGTTGATGGAGAGTTGACTTTTGATCAACATGTCTCGATTCCTTTAAAATACTAAAATTAGTATTACTAGAGAATCAGTGAGGCTTCATGGGCGTACCTCGATGAGGGGACTCTAATATATGAGATATTGATATAGCTATTATACTGGTTGCGTATTTAATATCCTTTGTGGATATCACCTAACCTTATAAATGTGATTTCTAATGAAATGTGATTTTGTGTGTGTGTGTGTGTGTGTGTTTAGCCACTGACCTATGTTTATTAAACATGATTTGACTTGTGTACTGATGATGATATTTGTGAAATGTAATTTAGTACTTGTTGAATTGTTTGATGAAATGTGATTTGACGTGCATATTTGAAATGTGATTTGATTTGCATGATTGGTATGATGTGATGAAATGTGAGGGCTAGTAGTGGACCATTAACCCATTGCCATGGGGTTTGTTGCTTCGGAGCTTGTTTCATAAACCATTTCATTGTTTCTTTTCTCACTTCGTTAACTTGTTCTAAACTTAATACTTGTGCTTTGTTTCATTTCGTTGAGCCTTTGTAAATTGAGCATTTGATTCATGTTTTGTTTCGTTGAGCCGTTGTTATGTCCTTGGCCCTCCGCTCGGTTCCGTTGAGTGATCCGGAACTGGGTTTCCGCTGGGGTTTCGTTGAGTGGTTTGATTCTCTGCTCCATCTGGATTCCGTTGAGTGGTCCGGAATCCCTCATGATCCATGATTCCTTTGAGTGGTCCGAAATCGTATCTAGATTGGGTTTCATTGAGTGGTTCGATATGCTTTGTACTCCGCGATTCCGTTAAGCAGTTCAAAATCGTATCCCCTTAGATCCCTTTTAGAGGTCCGGAATCCCTTCTACTCAGTGATTCTGTTGAGTGGTCCGAAATCGTATCTTGGTTTAGATTCTGTTAAGTGGTCTGGAATCCCCTTTGGTGTCTTAGTTCAGTTGAGTGGTCCGGAACCCGATGTTAATGGATTTCATTGAGTGGTCTGAAATCGCATCATTTGACTTGTTGGTTCCTTGGATTTGATTTCAGCTTCAAAGATGTAGACTTCAACCAAACTGTGTCGCTCTAGCCCTGCATTTCAGTGTATTGTATATGTTATTGATTGGTGTGATTATTGGATGGTGTTGGAATGCATATGTGTGGGTGAATGGCAAGATGACTAGAGAATAATATTATGCTTCATTGAATGTTCCTTGAGGTGCTACATGCTTGAATTGTGGTATTATGTTGAGATGTAGTGAGATATGCGATGAATGTTCGAGTGTAGTGAATGGTGAACTACGAATGGCTTGATCCCTATTACGTAGGCAATCTAACGAGGAGGTTAGATGCAGCCATAAAGTATACAAAAATAACTTCATGATCTGAAGCTTGTGCAGTGCTTTATTCATATCCCGGAGGCGGGATATGTTATATATGCGGATACTTCGTGCCGTTACGTGTCGATCCTAGACGTATGTTGGGATCGGGGCCTGACAAGGTGGGGATTTTTAGAACATTGCATATTATTAATCACACTATAAATATCATCTCTGCCAAAAAAAGAATTAAAACTAAGATCGTTTAGTCAATCTATTCTAGTAAATACGTAGACGGCTTGTAATGTTTTTACCAATTCTGGTTCCCTTAGAAAAAGTAAGAAGATAGGAACAAGACCATTACTACTGCCCTAATAGTTAGTGGCTTGTTGCTTGTAAAATAATGGAGCAGAGGCAACTCAAAGCAGCTCTCAATTGTTCATGTCCACTACAATTTTACCTTTCATTTCCAAATCCAAACACACATCAAAGTAAAAAGCTGAACGAACACATAAATTAAGCAAGATGTAACATAAAAATAATTAAGGTTACCACAAGACACAAAGCAAATCCCAAAACCCTAGCTCGCTAGCAAGCTAGGAGATTCATGGATTTGCAAATCCCATGGCTAATCTTATTTTACAGTAAGTTCTAAAACCAAGCTTTTACAGTCTTCTTCTTATTTATAGAGACCATCACAGCTTTCTTCTTTGAGTCTGGATCTTGGCTTGCTTCGATCATTTGTGGCAGCCACATGAGCTGCAGCTGCAGCTTGAGCCACACTTGCAGTCATTCTCTGCTCCATAGCTCATCTCAGACCCCTCAGAGAACCTGCAATAATAATAGTAATAATAATAATATAGTCAATTTTGTTTCTTAATTGGAGAGAGATTATTAGCACTCTTGAAAAGTCATTATGCAATCTTCGGAGAGTATTTTTACCTTATATTTAATTAACCAAGGTTAAGACAACAGTTGCCTTATAAAAACTTACATTTTCACAGGTGCAACTCCGGCAATAATAGTTTCAGTGGAAGTGGTCTCTGAGTAGCTCAAGTCAGGGTACACGCCACACCTACACGTATATACATATATAAAGAGATCATTATTATCAGGAAAAATAACTAAGCAAAGTAATCAGTTCATAGTTAAGAATATAATTAGGAATTATGGAGAATGATGGTCACACACACACACACACACACACATTGGTTAGGGGAATAGAAGAATTACTTGCAGCCACTGCCGCACTTGCAGTCACTGCCACAGCTACAATTGCAAGACATTTTCTTTAAAAGTTGGTATAAGGATAAGGAGAAGATTGTTGTAGTGCTGGGAATTGAATTCACTCGAAGCCTGGGATGAGTTTCTTGTGAGGGTCTCAACTGCTATTTATAGTGCAAGTGAAGGCTAAAGCAGTTGAAATCCACAGTACACGTGGATCAATCCTGGATATCTATGCGAAGTTATTAAAGTTTTTAGAGATTACTTGCCCTCACCAACAATCCACAATGCGTTAAGTTTTTCTTAAATGCTGAGATTTTACGTTACTAATATTTAAATGGTAACATGTTTATACTTTAGAGATTTCTTTCATGTGTATAAATGTTACAATTTAATTAATTATCAAACACTATCTAAACTTAAACTTTTGGTAAATGATTATTTGTTTTAGTGACACTCGATTTCTATATTATATTTAAAGGTGTAATTAAGTTCAAATTTAATAGATAATAGTTGTTGAATCAAACAAGCAAAGCTTAAAAGTTCATGTTCAAGACAAAAGTACAGTATCAATCTTTAAAAATATAAAGTTAAGGATCTTATTTCTTATCATTCATGTGCACCACTCAAATTCAATTCCATCAACTTATTTTTCTGGGAGGAATTCTTTCATTTTATTGATAGTATATAGTCCGGTCGTTCAATCAAAAAGTTTCTTTGCAGAAAAAGGCAATGGGCATCCACCAAGTTGTTTCCTTATAAAAGTGTGTAGGTAAAAACCTTTTGTTATGAACTAGATGCATTGATTTTAATTTGGAAAAACTTTATTAAGTTAGGCTAAGAGTCCCTTTGAAGTTTCAATTACCAATTTGATTTATAGTTTTTTTATTTTGTGCTTGAAATATAGGAAACGTTGGGGAGGAAGGGGCAAATGGAGATGAGTGGTGTGGCAGAAGATAGGAAATTAAAGAACAATCAATGAAACAAAATCCTGAAAGTGAAAACAACTTAAAGTCAATTTTAGTTTTCATTTGTGTGTTTCTTTCCTTGAATTCTTATATATTTCTTGAGCGTTATCTTCCTTCCTCCACTTTTCTATGTCCCTCCCTTCTTCTATGCATTCCCCCTCCATCACTAACAAAAAAGAAAAACTAAAGTAAACGACTAAATAATTATCAAGACAACCCTAAGTTGTTTGATTATGAATATGCATAACTAATTCCTTTTGCTAGGGTGAAGCCTTAAGCCTTAGTATGAATATGTGATTTTTATTTAATTGTTTATGATTGATTGCATACATACTTTGAATTATTGATCACCGTGATTAAAACTATCTAATTATCTTAATACCTGATCACCTTTAGGATCTTTAGAAAAGTAATTTGATGCAGTTTTGGTCGGAAGGTTCCCTGAAATTGACGCAGGTTTCTTGTGATTAATAATTGTAAATTCACTTAAGATGAACACCACGTCTTAAGGGTTGCATGGTTGTCCAAAGGGTTTTCATAAAGCATAATGAGTCTTTCATGTTCAGATTTAATCCGAACGTCCGGACAGGTTGCATGTTAGATATACGTTTTATGTTGAAGGTTCCAAATAGAATATGAACTAGGAAAACCTAACCTTCAAAGTGGCATGTGTAGATCATAAGTAATTGGTAAAAATATATAGGATTGCTAGGTGATGGTGGAAAGAACGACATGACTCTTTCTATTTTTGCGCCGGCATTTGAGTTGACCCTAATGCTTTTATAAATTGGTATTTAAAACTCTTTTCTTTTATCATATTTGTTTTTAATTAAAATTCGTTTTTAATATTACTCAAGTCTAAAATCTCTTTTCTCAACTTTTAATTTTAAGTATATAATTGGGAATTGTTTCTACATAAATTATCCAAATAGTCTTTGAGGAGAACGACCTTGCATGAGTTTTTATCCCTACTTTTGTAGATGGTAAAAATCCTATCAATCCTCTTAAGTTGCACCGGATTAAAAAAAATAATAATAAAAATAAAAAACTAGCCTAAGCTAGCTATCTCGTAAAAAATATGAGTTGCTCAAAAGTCCTTCAAGATGAATATATTCATGTTGAAGCTTGATTTGTTTCTTAATCGAGCCAAATTAGTTTTGACTTGTTTTCTTCTTGCCAAGCTTCAAAGAGTCAAACATGAATCAAACGCGATTATGAATCGAGCGGTTTTGAGCCAATTTGAAACCCTTTGAGAAAATGGTAATTAGTGCGCCCTTTCTCTTGTTGGCGTTGTCTCCTGTCTCGAATATGTGCAATTGTGTTGCTCTCCACAAATAAAAGGAGGGTGAGAGATTGACTTTAGATATGAAGATAAGTGCACACTGCTCTCAAGGCAATAGAGTCACAAAATCTTTGTCCACCTTTAGCGATAAAGACACCCCATTCCTCCATTTTTTTTTTTTTGGGTTTGATTTACTATCTTGTAGTTTATGCCATCTCCAACAGAAGGCTGGCCAGATGGCTCGTTTTAGCCCTCTAGTCCTCCAAGAAATTAATATTTTAATGAATAGTGTAGGACCATATTTCTTACCATGTCCAACCGAGGGCCAAAGAGCCATATGACTTGTTTTAACCCTGTCACAAAAAACTGTCTCCAACCAAGGGTCATAGGGCCAAACATAATTTATTATTTAAATTTAAAAACTACAACTACAACAAATTAAATGTAATATAATTAAATATTTAAAATAAATTGTGAAAGGAACATGCTTATGAAAGGAACTACAACTACAACTACACCCATTATAATTGTCCCACATCGGCCGTGGGAGATGAATGAGCAAGGAAACATGTTTATAAAATAAAGACCCCAACTTTGATCAAATCAACTTTCTCGGCTCAAAAAATCTAAACCCATAATTAAAAAAAATTTAGAAAATTTTGGCCCCCAAAAAAAAAATGTAAAAAAAATAATAAATATGACATCATCATGAAGTCAGCATATGGCCCTACCCGGGGCTAGCTAGCTGGTTTGAGCCAGCCAGTTGGCCCTTTGGCCTTTTTTTGTCTAGTTGGGCACACGAGCCCTTTGGCCTGACCCTCAATTAGAGACAGTTTTCAGACTATTTTTGGCCTTTTGGACCCTTCAGTTGGAGATGGTCTTAGTTCCCCTCACATGTGCTGTGGAGAAAATAGAAAAAGATATTGCAACAAGGAGACTCCCTCCAATTATTGATCCACCTTTCATCGGGTGGGCCATGAAGGGCTTCTATCCCCTTATTGTGTAGCCAGCCATCTATAATTGTGTGGAATATTTTTGGTCACCACCTTTAAGTAATAGTGATGCTCGCCACCCTATGTATCACAATTGAATGAGTTTAAATTTTGAGATCTTTTTATTGGATAGACTTAGATCTCAAAAATTAAACTCATCTAACGGTGATAAATAAGGGTGGTGAGTAAAAATGCACCTGTAATTGTGACTTTAAAAGTGAAAGGATGATATTCTCTTCAAATCTCTTCACCTCATCCTCACCTGTCCTTTTCTTTTCCATCGTTTGTTATCAAAGGTTCTCCATTTACCTTCTCTTTCCTTTGAAAATAAGAAGAAGAAAGAATTCCTCTAAAGTTATTCTAACGTGCTGATATCTTATATAACGAATATCAAATGTTAAGGCAAATGAAAATCGCAAATCTTATTACTTTTTCTTTTCTTTGCGCACTTGTGTTTATATTTAGCTTTTTGATTGAATAGATCGAAAAAAAATCAACAAATATAAAATAAAGAATAGCATCCAGATGCATAAAAAGATTGTTTGGAAATAATCTCCCAATATTAAACTTTATCGTATAAATTTTCGTATACCGCTACATGAGGAACGAGAGAGAGATTTAAGGAGCCGAACGCTAGTGATAGAATATGGGACACACACACACGTCATACCTGCGTTGTTCAAACTATTTAAGGAGTCCAATGCCGTCATACCTGCATTGTTCAAACTATTTAAATTGGCTCTCTCATACGCATGGAAGAGGGAAAGAATTATGACAATCTTAGGATGCCAGTTTTGACGGCTATATGTAGAGGGGTATTTCCACTTTGATCTCTTTGCTTGCTAAGCACTTGAAGATTGCGCTTTCCAATAATATATCGGACAACATTAACTCTTCCATGCGCGGCCGCAACATGAAGAATATTCCGGCCTTCACCATCACATGACTCCCTCAAGTCGGGGTAATGATTGAGAAACTCTTCAACAACCCCGCAATGGCCTTTTTTGGACGCCACATGTATGGGAAGGAGCTGATTTTCGTCACCTTTGTATGCCAATCCAGTAAATTTGTGTAACAATACGCGTACCGCCACAAAGTTACCTATACAAGCCGCAAGTGTAAGAGGAGTCATCCACTCTTGGTCCGTTGAATTGATTAGATTAGCTGAATCCATTTTGCTCAATATCGTCTCTAGAAGATCTACAGCATATGCATTTTAGAAGCAACTCTGTCAAGAATAAGTATTTATGAATAAAGAAATAAACGAAAGGTAAATTGTCATAATGCCATATGACAGAGAGTTAGAGCATCTCCAACAGTGTAAGAAAATGATTTTGATGAGCCACATAGATAAAACGTTGCTCCTGCTCCAATGGTATGTGCAATTGAGTAGGAAAATTTTGCTCATTCCCACAAAGTACGCAATATTATTGACTACAATATTATATGCTGATGACATGAAAATGGCAAGGACAGAACCATACTTGTATATTTCTTTCTGTTGGTTCTGGGCAGCCACCATTGAGAAACTATACGCTTAAAATACATCCAGCATACAACCCCCGCCAGCAAGAAGAGTGGACTGATGAGAGTGCATAACATGAGCATGGCCAACACGAACACTGCATTAATTTTCTTGAGTCCACCTTTTGCTATATATGTACCCGATGCCAAAATTTAAAAAGAATACTCATTACCAGCTATATGTACCAAAAACAAAAAGTACTCACGAGTATACCAAAAAGAAAAAAGGTAACTGCAAATGCTTAATATTTACCCTTTTTCCTCCATATGATCGCACTACGAAGAATGAAGTTGCTGTTCGATCCTTGCCAAAAATTACCAGAATTAGCGTCTGCTATGCTATTTGGCGTGTTGGCTACCATTGCTTTAACGAGTTCAAGATTGGCAGTTTCAGCGGCCATGC